AGCTTTGTGAGGATTATTTCTTAGCGAAATATTGGTAGAATACTTACGACGAGTTTCTCAATAAGAAGGAAACAATATTGGATTAAGAAAGTTAATGATAAAATTACTTTACCCAAAGAGTCCTAAACAACTAAGTAGAAGGCATGGATAGTGGTAAGATCCATAGAAAGTGCACGAGATGTCAACAAGTATGTCACAATCGAGCAACATATGAATTTTCACTCAATGTTATCAATTGCAAAATAATGTAGTATCCTTCAATCTTCTATATATCCTAATTTTGTTGTTCTCAACAATGGTTTTAAGAGGTGATTTTTTTTTTGTATATAATATACCTATACAAGTTTTAGCCAAATATTACACAAAATTTTGAAGCATAATAAAATAATGTTATTAAGTAATATGAAGTTACTATTGCATTAATTAATGTTCCAATCATGTTCCAAAGTTTGTGATGGTTTGATAGGAGTTGACCCCATTTTCCTCGAAAATGAGCTAATATATACTCAATATTCATAAAATCTATATAAAAAAAACCAATTTTGACACAAAATGATCCTAAAATCATCAACAAAAATAAGAGAGAGACTATAATCCTTGTTAGATATATGTTGTAGTGGAATTATGAAAGTCTAAGGTAGTTTAATAGAATTTGGCACTAGTATACCAAAAAATGAATTAAAATATACTTGTTAATAAAATATATAAAAAAAATACCAATTTTGATACAAAATGATCATAAATAGAAAAAAGTACTATAATGAATGTTAGAATCATATTTTAGTAAAATTAAAAAAGTTGGAGTAGTAGGAGCCTAACTAGAGCTCAATCGAAAAGGAGGCTTATTGGCCTATCTTATTTATGATTTTTTTTTTCTTTTTTTTTGTGTTTGATTTTATTTTCTGATTAGATCGATGATGTAGGCACTATGTGTAACTTCCATTTCATACTGCTTTTTCTTTCTTATATGTGTAACTCCGGTTGTGGATTTGATAGGGTTGAGGATCCCCTGCCATGTCAGCATATGTACCTGCGACCATGTCAGCGTGTACTGCCAGCACAGCAGGCTGCCAGTGTAGTTTAGTCATCTAGGTGGACCAATCAGCCACATAGCTCAAATTCGCCAAAATCAATTGGAGCCCAATTAAATCTTACTTGGGATGACTTGTGTGTGCAACCTAAACCTAGTTTTAAATCTATAGAACCAAGACAATCCCAAATTGGTCGAACCCAAGACGAGTTCCATTTAGATTCGGTGGCACTCAGGCTCCTTGCTCGGCCTAGTCTAGGAACCCTAAACCACAATAGGTCCGACCCCAACCCTCCTATGTGATCGAAAGATTATCTCTTGATTCATCGTACAAGTTTCGACTTTACATAAATTAGATGTTGGCTTGGTCTTGGGATAGTCTTATGTGAAGTAATTCGATCGCAAATATTATTAATAAATATAAATTTTTTTAAAAAAATATAGATAATCATAGAAACATACAAAAATACCCCAGATTAATTTTAGAACAAAATAAATGATATGAATGAGATTATTAGATTACATTAAATGGTATAATAACCTCATATTATTGATTTAGAACACTTAAAATTGCAAATATAAATGCTGCAAGGAAAATTAAATAAATTGAAATAATCAAATAATAATAAAACATACCCCTTTGTTTTATATTATCCACCACCTCCTGTGATGATGACACCATATCCTACCCTATAAACTGTTGATGTGATATAAAAATATCAATTCATGCATAGTATCGATTCTCTTTTGAGTCTATTACACTAAAATAATAAATTAAAATATAATCATTTGAAAAATATATTATGTTTGATAATTAATTATCAAAATCAATACTCATGTGGTAATGATAACGTGCAAGTTTGAATTGATTTAATGGAATACAGTCAAATAAATCTATTTCAAAACCAAACTACAAGAAGATAAGCATCACAAGTCAAGAGTTGTACATGGTATTTAAACACCATAACAACAATCGTAAAATCCAAGGTAAACAAAGACAATTCAATTGTCACAACTATAAAATATTTGAAAAGCAAACAGCGGCACCACAAAGAGATAGACATCATCTACACGAATCTTACATAGCATTTGAATGCCAACAAAGAGATAGTTATCAATGTAAAGTAATCATCGTTAACAATAGAAACATAATATATATATATATTGATATATATCACAAAACATAAAACCACTCCACATAAAACATAAAACTTCTTCATCAATTTGGTAGCGTCTTCATTGCCGTTGTCTAACTTTCTCGTAAATTAAAATATATTGGTAAGAAAATTAAAATAATTTGTATTAGAAAATTAATATCTTATCACTTATGTGAAGTTATCTCTTTGAGAACCCTCGGTATTGATGACTCGAAATCATTAAATTTCTATTGCTTATATAGCACATCATATCACCCCTTCAACAACACATTCATATTCCCAAAGAAAGATGGATCGTGTTTTAATATTTGGTATATTTTTATCTAATATAGTCTATGAAATATTTGACTGTTAAATCCTCGATCAATCCCTTTTCGACTAAATGAAGGATGGATGAGTCTGCATGGTCTTCAAAACTATCATTTTGGCCATTAAGTATCTAAAGCAATTTCATATTTTTGACAATTGGTACGTACTCGTTATTTGGTATAGCATTATCTCATAAATGAACATTTTAACTTGGAATGCTTAAAACACAAATAACATTATAAGCTAATCATGTTACAAGGCAACGTATCTTGGTTTTCAAAGGAGCAACAAAGATTGGGTGATTTTCTTTGGGATAAAGAAGGATACATTGAGATACTCGAATAAACTATCACAAAAGATATGTAAATACACTCGTTTTTGTAAATCAATAGTTACTTTATCTTTTAATATAACTTTCAACTTTTCTCCATTGCATTCATTCTAACTATTGATGCTTACATAAGACTATCTCGAGAGTCGAGAATAGTCTACAATATGGGATGGAGTTCAAAAATCCATCATTGAAAAAAAAAATAGTAATCATAAGATTATAATTATTCTATAATCTATATAATTCAAACTACTTAATGAAACCTTGATTACTATCAAGACTAGTACCTAATCTCTTAGGTATCCAATAACCTTTCATGCCACCCTATTTCAATTTTCTTATTAGATCCCTAATAATTGGAATCTTATCGATGAGGTATAAATGAGTAACCATCTTTTAATTATACTTTGCCAGTGACTTCAGATCGCTTATAATATAAAGTAAAGATGGGAGTTCATTGACAAAATAAAAAGTATGTACAAAATACACAACTGATGAAAGTTGTCAATGTCGACGATATCATTACTAAAAATGAGATTACACATAAGATCTTTTATTTTTATTTTTATATTTTGTCTATTTGTCTTATCTTTCAAGTGCTTCTCACGCATAAAGTCCCGAGCTTCTCCTTCAAGTTTGATAAATTCTCCCCACAAAGATATGCCAAAAATAAAAAGCTAAGTAAAGTCAATGGGGATATATTAAGTTATATTCATCCATAGCCTGGGATGGTAGGAATGTCTACAAGATGACCAAATAAATATGACACTAGCTAGGATAATAAGTGATATGGCACATTTCAGCGTCATCCACATCACAGTAAATAAAGGGCCTCCGAGTTTATGCAGAGCGACACCTCGGACGAGGTGACCACATGACCCCCATGTTGTTCGGCGTCATACAGTTTAGCACTGGACACCCTAGAGTAGTTCCGTAAAACTCAAGATAGCGTCGCATGACGTTTACCTGTACAGTTCAATCGATGCTCGTCTAGGGGATGAAGCCATCCCACTCGGTGTTGTACAAGTTGACGCGGAACACCACAAAGTCATTCGGCAAAACTTGGGTCGGTGCCAACCCGTACAGGTTGGTCGGTGCTCGTCTACAAGGTACAAGCCATCCTCGTAAGGAATCAACAGCTATTAAAGGACCGCATATGATTGACCACCTCATTGTAGGTATAAAAGCCATCCCTCTGGCCAACGAGAGGAGGTTTCGAGGACACAACTTTATCTTATTCCACTCAACTCTAACTTAAACTTTGGAGGGATCGAGTTGAAAAATCTTCCCCTCGACCTTGACCTGAGTGTAGGAGCTCGACGACAAAGAAGTAGGCGACGAGGCCCACGACTCAACCCAACCCGATGCTCACTTAAGTCACCCGAGTTTCTACGTGGACAACCTTGCACATCCGGGATTGGACCGAGCCATGCTAACTCCTCAGCCACGACGTAAAGGTTCACTAACAGCAAGGGATGATACGAATATTTACGAGATTGACCAAATACGATTCTCCTAACTTCCTCTATATGACATTGCCAAAAGAAATAGTGACTCCCCAACACATTTAAATTGGACAGGTTCAATTTCAAACCGTCTATTTTGGACCAAATATCCTGAACCAGTTCAGTTGCAATTGGTTCAGGGGCATTTTGGATATATTTTCAAAGGTAGGGGCGTCCCCTTGTCATTTCAGAATACGGGGAGTAAAAGGGCAATAGTGAGAGATTAATTGCCGTTTCGGGAAAGCAGTAGCAGCGGTAACGAAACCAGAGATTGATCGTATCACGTGGACGGCGAGCCTCACAGCTTCAGTAAGATGCGTCAAACTCATCGAGTCAGTTATATTTACTTGATCTTTTCTTCAACCACTCTTCTGCATTTTTAATTGTATATAATATACTATGATATTTTAGCTGCTTTTATTGTTTTTCAAAATGCAGCAGAAATTCCTGTCGTTTACATGACCCAATTTTAACTTGATTGATTTCTGTTTCAACATACTCTTCATTCCATAACATAGTTTTCTATAATAGAAACCCTGTTCAGCATGGAAAACCCATCTTGAAATTTGCCCAACAGTTTCCTTGTCTTGGTAATGCAAAATCTTGTAGCTCACTCTGTCAGTTCACTGTCAACTACAAGTTATATACAGCTGCTATGCAACTATCATTTGCAGGAACCAAATGTTTGAGGAAAAGAATTTCAATTTGCTTCCAGTATTAAGTACAAGAAATGATCAGAAGCAAACATGTCAACAGTAAACTGATGCTTCAGACAGTCAAATAAGGATTTCTTGAATGACACTAGAAATGGACTGGTACATTGCAGCAGAGTTACCTAGCCCGAAAAGAAGAAAGAAAGTTGCCCCAAGAACACAAAGGAAAGCAACAATTCACCCAAGGCTAGATCTGGTGATCTCATATGCTAAGAAACATGCTGCATTGGCAGGAACACTACGAGCCATGGCTGGTCCAAAGCCTCTATATAGGCCCTTGACACCCTCTGAAGCTAGTATTTTTCTGAAGGCATCAATGGAACTGGAGTACTTTGGGTTCCTATAATCATCAACTTGAATGACACTTTTTACAACATCTGTTGGATAGACCGATGCCCAGAATGCTGCTCCAGCCAGCCCTCCGGCGACAATCAAATGGCCCCTACCGAGACCTGAAGTATCAGGACCCCCAGCAAATTTTTGCTTAAGAGCTTCATAGACACCAAACATTGCAGCATTTCCAGGTACTTCTCGTGAAAGTGTCGGGACAAGGCCTTTGAATAAGCCTCTAAGGCCAGCTTCTCTCATAACATGCTTTGCCACGTCCATGGGTCCTCCATATTTTACTGCACCTGAAGAGGTGGTTGAGCTTGCTAAGGCACTCTGAGCTTGCAGCCTGTTTTAGAATGTAACTCAAAAGAAGAAACACAACTTTTACACCAGCAAATCTAATGTAACAATGAGTGCTAAGATTTAAACATAATATTTTAAGTGAAACATGCTTCATGTAGAGAACCAGTGTCACTAATCAGTGTAGTCAGTATATGCTATAGTTGGATTAAGAACCCTTCATAGCTTAACGTCAAACAAATCAAACTTACTTGAAGACTAATCTAAAGATTTCTCTAACAGTATCAATAACTAGGGAACAAGAAGAACAAGCATGAGATAATGAAATGAACCCAAATGAAAAATTATCTACAGGAAAAACAAGATGCCTCAAAGACACTATATATTTACACTGCAGAAAAACATGTTATTTTCAGTTTAGTTAATTGAGGTAGAGAGTGAAATCATTTACCAATCTAAGATTGGGAGGAGCCATCAAAATGGTAATGGATGCACAAAAACAACACACAGTAACCATTCTCAACCAGCACTACTTTCACCCTCTGCATAAAATAAGTTGCTGTCGTTGTCGAACTTCTTCAACTTAAATTTTGTTTTTGGTAGCACCATATCTAATTGTAGCACTGAACCTCTCTCACACAAATTCCTCAAAAACCAAAGCAAAGGTGGATGGGCTTTAACTACCAAGAATACAGGGGCAAACGATGAATTTGACCTACATAAGAGCACTTTATATATTGCGCTGGAGTCTCAAAGAAACTTCAAGTATGAATTCTACAAAACCATAAATACATTTTGGACATATGTTAAAAGCACTTATACTATAAGAGGAAGCTGTAGAGAAGCACTCTTGAGAAATCATATGATACCCATTTTATGGTGTTCTGACAGTAGGAGATGGAAACCCTATTTATAGATGTCACTGATAGATCAAAATCAGTCAAATCAGATAACTATTCATTTACATATAAATAAAGAAGACCAAGGGTCCTTTGTTCCATGTCAATTCACTCTTTCTAATGAATAGGACTTTGTCTTGATAGTTCTTAATTAAGCCACCTTGGTACTCCTCATTGGTTCACCTTTTGATATTGATCCATAATTATTTCTATTTTTGATGGCCTAAATTATGATGAAACTCCAATATAGGACTCAATGAATCATAGGGCATGCCTATTGGAAACTGGTTTTGAGTTCCTAATAAAGGGAAAGAAAAAAATATTAGATCACTGGAAGCACCATAAGGTGATTTGTAATTTGTTTCTGTTCGATAGTAAGAGGACAATTGTTATATTAATTACAATTAATTGATCATGAAGAGTAAAATTCTTCGAATCTCAGTCACAAAAGAAGCCATTTTTTAGTAATAATAAAAAGAGGCACTAGGTAATGAAGCAGAACAATAAAAAAAATCCTAGTGAATGTTGCAGCAGGGTGCAAACTAGTAAGAGCATTCAATTATTTGGACAATATGCTTATGATGGGAAAATATATATTTGTTAGGAAATATTATTTTTGTGGAGATCAGAAAATTTGAATTTCATAATAAGCAATAAGTATGGCATTCAGCAGTACATGACCAATACCAAACAGGAAAGGAGTGTTTGGCAAAGCATTAAATCTATGATTGCCAACCTCGTGGACAAATGAGATGGAGACTACAGCTGATGTATCTGCAGAATTCCTTTTGCCTGTGTATGATGGAAGCAAAATCACTTTTATTTTTCTGTTGTAAAGGGCAAATGACGAAGATGAGATTTATGCCCAAGACCTTGCAATAATTTGTCAAGATCCTAAAAATATATCAGATGAGGTTTCAAACCCTCACCCTTTGGTAAATGGGTCTGGTACACCATCACCAGACCAATGTTTAAGATGTAAAATCACCATGTTTGAATACAATAATTTCAATTTAAGTTGGTGTAATAGGCAGGCTGCAGATGCAAATAAGCACAGAAAACTGGATACTGTCCTAATTAAGAGACATTTGGCTCCAAATATTTTATGATTTGAAATATAAATTCCTTAGGAATTTTACATAATGTTCCCTCTGTGACTACCATTTTACAGATTATGCACAAGAGAACTTCTGAATTTGTGAATACTTGGGTGGAGGATTATAAAATCCCCGATATCATTAGAAATGACTGGAGCAGATGTGTTACTAGCTCTCTCATGCTTCAGATAATTCAAAAACAGAAGCAGAGCTTGAACAAGATGAAACTGATAATTGTTATGCTAAAATCACAGCTTGAAGACATCCAGAAGCAATCATATGCTAAACCTGGAGACCAAGTCACAGTAGCAACTGAAAAAGCTCATCTGTTGGAACACTCAAGTGATGAAATATGAGGAAGAACTCCTTAAAGATTGGTCAAAGATCTAACTGTTTGCATCTTGGGATAAAAAATGTCCTCTTTTTGCTCAGATGCACAGAGCCAATAGGATAAAACTAGGATTCAGTTTATCATCAACAAACAAGGTGTTGAGATAATATGAAATGAGGATTCTTGAGGAGTGGCGAACTTTACAAATTATTAATTGGATAACAAGTATTGCATAGAGTGAAACTAAATGATCCAATCTTGGATGAAGGACAAAAGTTATATGATAAAGACAGAACTGGCTAATTAGGCCATTTGAGTCTGAAGATCCCAAGAAGGCTTTATTTTCCATTTGAGAGAAGGCCCAGGTCCAGATGGCTTTATAGCCAAATTTTATCAAATTATCAGGGACACTAATGGAAGTGAGGTGTTAAGGGCAGTACAGAGTATCTTTCAAACAAATAAACTACTGAAACAACTAAATACTATTACTGTAACATTTAACCCAAAAGACAAAAAGCTAGTTAATTATCAGAATTGGACTAATCTCTCCTACTGTAACATTCTCTACAAATGTCTTGCAAAAATTAATTATTAATAGGTTCCAAGATGGTCTGGGCAAACATAAAAATTGTCAGAAACAACATTAATTAAAGGGAGAAGGATCTTGGACAATGTAGAGTTAAGGCTGCTGCTTCGTGAACTGGGAGACCAATGTTCAAGTTCTGGAAACGACCTTCTTGATATAGAGGTAATGTTGCAAACCCAAATTGGCAGGAGCCTTGTCCAATTAATACCCCTTCTAATCTTGGACAATGTGCACACAAGAATTTTCTCAATTATCACAGAAATACCATTTTATGTTGATACACAAAAGTCTTGTGATCCCTTATCATGGGAATATTTGGAAGGATGTTAAATTTGATATTTCTTCCAGAAATGATAAATTGGATTTAAACCTCTATCACCTCTATTTTGTTCTCAGTGATGTTAAATGGGAATATAATTGGCTTCTTTCCTGGGCAAAATGGCCTTAGTTAGGTGATCCATTGTCACACTATCTCTTTGTTAAGAGGGATGGAGCTCTTATTTGGATGTTTGGGGAAGCTATCTATATATTCCAAATTTTGGCTTTCACCCAAGTTGCAAACAATTGAAAGTGAGCCACTTGATATTTGTGAAGGTTGCTGTTCTACCTAAAATGTAGTTTGAAGATGTCATTACCTGCATACTAATTTGGCATACATCTAGTTCCATCTAAATTACAACCATAGGACTGTTAAGTGCTGGTAAAAAATGACATCACAAGCAGAGTACAAAGTTAGACTATTAGATTTTTCTTCTATCCAGGAACAATGAGTCTCTGTGATTTGTATTTTCCAAATTTTTTGGTTAGTGCATTTGTTCTATCTGGAAAAGATGACAAAGGCTGTGGATGAAATCAGCAGGAAACTCCTTGGGACTGAGTCGAACTCTGGAGGAAGAAAAGCTTGACGATGTCGAATAAATTGTGCAAACATCTGACAGTAGTTGGTTTACAGATATGGATGATGAAACTGTGTGGTTCCTCTACACTTGTAAGGGAAGGAAGAGATGGATAAATCATAAAACACGGAAAAAGAATCCTGTTGACTGGGCATGATCAACAAAAGCATGTCTTCACTCTTTAATTGGCAGTTTTGGACAATTTTCTGACCCAAATATAATAGTGAATATAAATTGCTCCAAGATCTGTGTTTCTTACACTAAAAAGGAGGCAGTGTGACATTAATCCTTTACTTGTTTATACTCTTCTGAGATTTGGAATAAGGTGTTTGAGTTTGAAAATAGTAGTAGACCTGATATTGTAATTTACTACAATTGAGACACTGTGGTTTTTCTTTAATTGTAAAGGAAGAGCCCTTTCTGAGAACAGAAAGAAAGCTCTGCTAATTGCTTTGATTTAGTACAATTGAGATCAAAATGGTGAACTTTCAGACAGCATCATCGGGTTTTGCTAAATTTGTGATGACTACTGTGGAAGGCATGCAAAACATTTTCAGAAGTGCCTTAAGAAGGCAGTAGAATGGGCATGTTTTGATTGAAATAGATTGTATTTGTTTTTGTTCAGTTGGAACAGTGCTCGTAGAGCCTTGGGGTGGAAATAATTGCTTGGAATGGGGCCTAATGCACATTATACTATTTAGCATGTAGTTTTATTGTTGAAGATAAAATTTACCAGGGTAACCAACCTGCATTTGATCAACTCTGTTGGACAGGCTAGGAAAGAAACTGCAACACCAGCACCAGCACCACATATAACCTGCTGGTTCACTGTCAAGACAGTGCCAGGTTCTGACCTCAGTAATGCTTCCATTTGGCCCCTGACAGTAAATAGAAGAGCATTGAAGGCTGCGACAGTTGCAAGTGGAGCTCCCATTCCCTTATATAAGCCTCTTGGGCCTTCTGCAGAGATGGTCTGCTTAACTGCATCCATTGCACCAGAATACTTGGGAGGCTGCCCAGGCAGTGGCGCAGGCTGGCTTTGAAGCTTGACCTTAATTGTATCAAAGGGGTGCCCAACAATCAGTTGTGCTGCACCTCCAACCGTACCAGCAGCTAAGTCCTTGGCAACATCTGCCATCTGCAATATTGAAAAATCATGAGGAGATTTAGAAGTTTGGACTTTGATCTTCCCAAGGTTCCCCTGATCTATCAGTTGTACAAATAAATAACAAATGAGTAAATTAACTCGGGATAAGAAACAATCTATATGAATTCATTAAAGACAATGGTAATAACGATGTGAGATGAAAAAGTTTAATCTCCATGCGAATATTTTATATTGTCCACTGGTCATAATAAAAAACTGAGATATCCTGAAGCCTAATGAATGCTCATGCTGGCATTAAGACCTGTAGCTCAAGGATAAAATCGTTCTATGGTAATAAAAGAAAACCAACTACTGTTTAATTCAGAGATGAAAAAGGCCACACAAGAAACTTACACATGGTAACAGATATAGATTCTTGTTACTGTCAAAGTCGGCTACAATTAAATAAAAGTATTTTTTATGCACATTTGGTGAAGACAAACACCCACCGACTTCATAATGTGTTGTGCAAGAATACCTTGTATTTCTTTCAGCAACAAGTGTTAGTGTCACTGGAATGGAATTTTAGCAAAGAGTTGGGGATATTATCATTCAGATTTTTGGGGAAAAATGGTGGAAATGTTAGGAATGAAATTTTAGCATAAGAAAGAATGGGTGTTTGACCAAGTGGACGTCTAAAGCATAACTTGCAAAACAATTTACAAATTATTTTTACTACAATTTATATTCTTACTGTTGAGTACATTCTTGTTAACTTTCTACGTGCGATAGGTAACCAACCAGAAAAGGTATTTAAAAAACCTAGGATATAGGTAGAAGCACAAGAAAGAAAGAGACAATCTCAAAATTAGGCAAGGTATCTAAGTAATCAAGTGGAGGTTGGATCTTGGTATGATAATAAGGTTTAGTATAATATAGAGGTAACAACATGTACATTGACTCAAACTCAAAGTTCACATTACGGTCTAAACTAATGTACTGGCCAGCTAGCGGTATGGTACGTATCACTCTGTACTGATGCACTATGTGTCGATACAACAAGGTGTATCGACAGTATGAAAAAAAGGCCAAAAATAGCTCCGAAAATTCCTTAAAATAGGAAAAAGTTAAATTAGGGTTTTAAAATTGAAAATAAATATAAATTTAGTATAATTTTAATAAAAATAATCTATATTAAGAAAGAATATTAGCACATATCTTTTTTGGGCTTTGAGGAGTAGTTTTGTGGTATGTTTCTAACTATCCTTCTATTGATATTGAATTATCTACAAAAAAAATGATTTGAATTGTCAGATTATTTATTAAACAACTTAAACTTTAAAATTTAAATGAATCTACTACAAAAAAAAATGACAGGACTCCACAGGTGATGGATTGAGATCTTCGATCCGATATATTTGTATATCAATTTGATATGTTTGTCGGAACTAATCATAAAATTGATCCATGACATAGCAGGGTTTGCCATGCTGACTTGTAACGAGCGATACATACCGGTTTGGCAAGATACTGGTACACGGACCACCTTCTACCAGGCAGTACCATCATATGACCCTATATCAGGCCATACGAGGTATATACTAGGCGGTAACAATTAGATTTCAATCATTACCGATCAAGGGTTGAGATTGCCCTATTTCAAACGATCAAATTAACCATTTGAGGCTTAGAAAAGGGTTTTTCCTCCTCTCTCTTTCAACTTATTTTACTATCTCAATCTCTTCAACTCTCTCAATATCACATTTTCACTCTCCTAAACTCAACAAAGTTATGACTTATAATTTGGATCAAATTCAGGAGGCTAATCTGAGAGGATTAAGAGGAAAAATACTTTAATCAAGAGGTATATATTCTCTTTCTAGATTTTTACTGATTTATGAGATGATTAAATTTAAGCCTAAATAATGTGGTGTATGACTTAATATCTAATATGTTATTTGATATATTTTTTATGGTAGAATACTGTTAATTAGGGAGTAATTAAGATATTTAATGTTGTGATTAGTGTGTTTAATATTTATTTTTTAAAATGATAATTAATAGGTCAAATCTTTATATTTTATGCATATTAAGGTAATGTATATGTTTATGATGATATAATATGTTTAATTAGGTTTTAATTAAGTTTTTTTAATACTATGATTAGTGGTTTTAATGATGATTCAATCGGAATTTGATGGGTCAATTCAATGTCTTTAATACAAGGCTGTTTAACATTGATTTTTTAATGTCTTTAATTCAATGTCTTTTGTAAATCATTTCAAAACAAGTTACAACAGGTAAGGGAAGATACAATAAAAAAGAACGCAAGAGATGAGGAAGAATACTAAAAGGCTACGTAGGAACCAACTTATGACGACTATAAGGATCGCGGCGATGAAATCAACCCAGATCTTAGAGCTAGTATTCATGCATCATTCGAGCATCAGTATATATATGAGGAAGCAATGAGGCACCGACATTCACATTGGGAGCATGGCAGTGGTAGTGGATTTGCGCCACAAGGAATCTAGAGGTCAGCCAGCATGAGGTAGCCAACTGCCCCTCCTCGGATACGCCGAATCAGTAGCATGAGGCAAGGTGGAATCCGTGGTTTTATGAGAGGGCTTAGCAGGAGGCCTGCACTAGATATCACATGAATGGTCCGATTTCAAGTATTCAAGATCGAGCGATAGAAAAAAGATATAAAAGACTATTCTTTCTTTAAGATTTTGGGATACATTAATGAAATCATAAAAGGTGTGGAACCACTTTCTGTTATCCTTCGTAAGGTCAATATGAACAAGTGTCCACAAATGCATTATCTCATACATATACTGATTATAACAAGAGAAGAGGTCAAGAAAACATTCAAAGATGATTTTAAGGTCGACCATTACTTACAGATCATTGATCATAGGACTTAAGTTCATATGGACCAAGATATCAATAATGCAGGTAAATTCATATTCAGTGTAACTTAATTAATAATTTTTTTAATATTTAAAAAATTCATATTCAATTTCGATATAGTCTTCGAACGCTATCAGATTTATTATCAACACTAAGAAATATTATACATTGACTCTTGTCAAACACTACCGATGTAGTCGATGCTATTATGGAGGGCTGATTATTCCGAGAAACAATTTGTTCATTTTTTAACATTGTAGTTGTATCGTGTCATTACAATATAAATCCTAGTGAGGAAAAGTTACACATATATTAATTATAAACTGTATTTAATATTAATTATTTATAATACTAATAAAGTCTTATTTATATCTTTTTGTAGTCGAGTGATGGTTATAATTTGGAGGAGATGCACCAAATTTAAGGAATGTTATTGTTTGTATACTTTCGCAGACGATGACATCTAGTGGTCGCAAACATAATTGGTCAATGTTCGCATTGATTCATACGAAGGTCCACAACAGACTATTGTATAGACGATGGGAGATACTAGTATATGTCCACTATAATATGCGGCTAAGGTTGCGGTGTGTCGAGCTGGACAAGGAGACAAAGGAAACAGAGATTAATCCCATCGACTTCCAATTCTACAACAAAGATTCAGAACCAATGTTAGAGTAGGTCAAAGCAATAGAAAACTAAGAGGATCCTCTACTTGATGAGGCAAGAAATTCTCAACGTCATTCGTGTTTTTATCATTGAGACAATAAAATAAGAGGAAGCACATCCCCATTAGGAGGAAGATCCCCCTTGATTAAAACATGGCAAAAGGAGCTGGACAACATCGAATCAAACTGCTCTAAGAACTAAAGACACCCAACCATCACAATCGTCCGCCCAACGTACAAAAGCAAAGGCAAAAGGGAAGACAGCAGCATCAGCAACACCATTGGAAAGAATTAAATCGAGCGACGAGACACCTTCATAATCGCATTCAACAACCTGTTCAGTCTAGAGACATGGTAGCGACGTGGACAGCAATGCCTCAATCGATGATGGCAGCAATGCCAGGGAGTCGATGGTTCGGTCTACACAATTTGATAGTGGTGCATGGATCGAGGAGTAATATTTTACACATGCCACTGTAGATTCAGATCATGGAGCTTGACGAGATACTAGTCAAGTTTATACGTAGAAGGGGAAGATGAAGGTAGTGGATGATTTGAGGGGGGTACATGGATTAAGGAGTAGTATTTTACACATGCCACCGAAAATTTAGATTATGGAGCTCGATGAGGAACTAGTCAAGTTTATACATAGAAGGGGAAGAGGAAGGTAGTGGATGATTTTGAGTAGATACGATAGAGCCTACATGACGTAGACATAGAACGAGTATCAATACACTATGTCACCACGATCAGACTACGACCATCACCACATTGATGCACCAATGACATATAGTGTATCAGTAGTACACTATGTGATAGGATCAATTTTAGGATTAGATTCAACAAATATATATTGATATACAAATATATAGGATCAAGGACCCTGATCCATCGTCCGTGGATTCTATCGTTCTTTTTAATGGTAGAACCAGGTATATCCATCGATTTATTACTTAATTCATTTAAATCTTAAAGTTTAAGTTGTTTAAAAAATAATCTAACAATTCAAATAATTTCTTTATAGATAATTCAATATTAACGAAAGGAAAATCTGGAACGTACTACAAAACTATTCTTCAAAGCCCGAAAAAAATGTGTCACTATTCTTTCTTAGTTTACATTATTTTTGCTAAAATTATACTAAATTTATATTTATTTTCAACTTAAAAACCCTAATCCATTTTTTTTTATTTTTAGGTATTTTTGGAGCTATTTTCGATGATTTTGGGCATACAGTCGGTACGCCACAATACATATCATACTGACGCATGGTCGATACATCGGTACAGACCGAAATTGTAAACTTACGATATAGTATATTAATACACCATATGCTATTGGTGCATTATTGTGATGATGGTTATAGTTTGATCGTCGTGAACCACACATGTCTGAGATAGCTTATGAGGCAAATATGATTGTAGCATATATTAGTGCGGAGCATAGAGAACATCAAAACTTCTACTTTCACCACTGATCCGCTACTCTGTATCATAAGATTGATCACCGTACTGTTGCTCGAAGAAGAATGACCAACTAGCACGTCAAGCTCCATGATCTAAATCTTAGGTAATATGAATAAAATATTATTCCTTAATCTATGCACCACCCTCAAACCGTGTAGATAGGACCATCGACTCCCCGACAATGCCGCCATCGTCAATCGAGGCATTGTTGTCGACGTCGCTGCCATGTCTCCGAAGCGAGCAAGTTGTTGAATGTGATTAAGAAGTTATATGCATACCTTTGATTATAGAGTTCTTCCTTTAACTTAGGTGTTAATCCTCCTTAATTAGCTTCCCAAGCTTAATCCAATCCACATATCGTAGCTTTGTGAAGTTTTAAGAGAGTATGTGAGAATGAAAGAAAGGAGAAAGAAAGATACTGAGAGAGTATAATAGTTTGAAAAAGTGAAAGGGGGTGAAAGAGGGGGAGGAAAGGGTTTAAAAACCCTTTCAAATGGATTTGACCATTGGAAAGGGTTAGATCTGAGCCATCTATCGGTAACAATCGAAATTCGACCATTACTGATTATACAGGTTGATAATGGGCAGATTTTGATTGTTATCAAGCGGTATAGGCCCATATCGAGCAATGCAGAGCCATTTAGTATACATCACCCGGTACAGGGTGGTCCACATACCAATCCCCTATCAGACCGATACGTCCGACCCATACCAAGTGGTATACTATGGTATGATGAACCTTGCATTATCTATCCTCTGACCATGCATTGGTGGGATTGGTGGGAGCCTTGTGCACTAGGTTTGTTCTTAACCACAATATCAAGTGAAAGTTATAATTGATACTGTTGCAGTTGATGGACAATGATGTGAACATACATATTATTTATCTGACTTTTTAATTATTTTATTTTATTTTATTTTATTGTTTTTTGATAGCTTTCTATGTACTGAAGCAAGTCCTAGCACTCCTCTAACTGATTTTAAGATCGAAAGAAACATAAGCTTATCCACATGAATTTAGCATGCTAGATAGATGTAATTCATCTTTAATTATCATGTGTCAGCCTAGAACTAAACAAATCAAAAGATAAAGGGAAAAAAAACAAATCAACCTTTCTAACTGTAAAATACATCCCCTAAAAATATAAGTTGAGATATAATACCTAAATTCTTGCCTTGGTCATCTGAGAATATAGTTGAAAAATATATGTTTCTTTTAAGTTTCATAAAATGAAACAACAATTCTTGGAGAAAACCTTAATAGATGCTCTGTAATCTACGGGTGAATTTAACCCAAAACCATCAAGATTGAACATAAAATTAAATGTTTTAACCTCAATTTATCAATTTTTCTAAACTGATCAATTCTGCTTAAACCACCAGACTTGGTAATTATCCAAATTTTGATTAAATTTGCTAGCTCAGGCCATCTGGAATAATTCAACCAAAATCAGTACCTTCATATTGAATCTTTTGATTTCTGGCTAAAATTTCATTATCTGTTGTTATATTGCTCATCTAATAAAGATGCAACCTTTTTATGAGTCCCAGAAGGACCTTTAGAAGCAAAAGCAAAGTTATTGATGGTCAATGTGTAGATAATGGAAGAGAGACAAAAAGGGCATCGGCTCCTGCCAATGCGGGTCCAGGAAGGGTCAATGTAGTCAGCCTTACATCTAATAAAATGTTCTAAAGAAACATTTGTCATTGAGTGAAGTAATATGGAAATAAAATGTTCTAGAGAAACATTTGTTGTTGAGCAAGATAAAGTACAAATGCATGTGGGAGGTATCAAAGAGTTTGACAACCTAAGACTTTCAGTCAAATGTCCATAAGACAAAAATAAATTTACCAATAGATATGCAATCCAAGTGAAAACAGATAGAAATTCAGATACCCAATACCATGACCTAATGAGGACTTCCATTAGGTGACCTTGACCAAAATAAGCACATCCAACCACCCAAAGGCTAGCCTATTGAAGTCACTTATGGCTATCCACTTTCCCAGCCTTCCAGTTTTCAAGAGTAGACGAGCACATAAGATATTGGAAAGCCCTAAAACTATATAGAAAGGTAGGAGAGTATCCATAATACACAAATATCAATGCTCGAAATCTATGTTTTGGATTAACTCTTCAATCTTCAGGAATCCAAAATGAAAGAAGATATTCAAACGAGCAACACAGTGTTAACATAATTTGAATGTGTGCAATCAGATGGAAGAACTCATGCTATTGGTAAGACATAAGAAAAAAATAAAAGAACTTCAGAACCAGGATTGCATAAGGAAAATATTTCATCCGTTATGTATTTCAGGCCAGGCATTGGAGAAAGTTATTAATAAAAACAACTATGAATCAGCTTTCTTATGACTCCACTATCATTTTATACATCACAGTGACATGGACAAGGCAAGATGAACCACCTTGTTACTGCAGTGTAGCTAATTGCAATAAATGAATGTATTAATACATATTTTAAAAGAACTCCATGTTTTCACCTGGACCAACAGCACTCAAACACCCACATGCTACTAAACAATCAAAAAGCTTAGTGCTCATAACTAATGCTTTGTTCACCATAATAAAAAAATCTTTTTAAAAAGACCAACAACCTTAAATCAGGTTTTCCAATACTTGATTTATTATTTTCAGCACAAGATGACGAGAGACTCTCCAAACCTTTCCAGAACTAAAATAAAGCTGAATCATTTCAGCCGATATCAGGCACCAAAACTCCTGTCGCAACACTCCAATTGGTTCCACATCGAAAATGAATAAGACTAAGATTGGCTTATAAAGATTTGATGAGTATACAACTACTATCAACTTCAGAGTAAGCATTTTGACTTCAAACGAAGTTGACGAGCCAATTAACCTATCGAATCATGTCATTTGGTATCAGAGCCGACTACCCGTGAATGGAGCCAATTAACTTAGCACATAAGGAAAGAAGGATCCCTTTTCTGTTTTGGCAGACAAGAGTTCCATTGTCTTCATCAACACCGGGAAACAGCTACAAGAGAATCCCATTCTTCAACAAAAAAACAAAATCAGAACATCTGCTGCAATCACATCTTAAGATCAGGGGACAAATCTTCGATTTTCCAATATGCCGAACAATGTCTACGACGAGGCATGCTCAAGAACACAAAGAAGGGCATTGGGTAAGGGGAAATGATTTTTAGAATCTTTTTCTATGGGGAACTCCAAGAGAATCTTGTTTTAGGAAAACCACAGAATGGATCTGGAATTTGTATGAAAAGCAAATTCATGGTGAGGGAGAAACCTTCGCAGAATGCGGGACCGTTTTCTCCCTTCTTCTCACGGCTGATTCCGAAGGCGATAAGAGAGCACACAAGGCTGCTGCGCCTGTCTTTATAGCTCCCTTCGTTCGTTTTAAGAAGAGAGAGATCGCATCCGCGAGCGGCGGTGTACGCAACCACACCACACGAGGGTAGGCGGTGACTGGAGAGGTGCTCAAACTAAGCAGCACTTTTCGTACCCAACATTCTTCTCACCCGACTCGCCAACTACGTTGTTACTGGAACAAAATGATGGTCCCACGTAGAGCCACATCTGACCGTTAGTCATATGTCAGGTAAGGAAACGGGTATCTGAAGGATCAGGAAAGGTATTTTCCGAATAGCAATCACCATTGGACTTGTTGGGCCCCGATCTGATCGTGAAGTGGGATTTCAGATTTGGGTTGGTCGGCTGGTGTAGTAGGTTTAACATCAACCATAGATATCTCCTTTTTGAGATTAGTTTCCCACTATTACTACAAATCAATTGATCTTAATGTTCAGCTCTCAAAAATTATTTTGGGAATAGTTTGAATTTGAAATATTATTTCATAAGAACAGAAATTTTTTTTTTTTGTGTGTAAAATCATCATGCAAGATCAAACCACACAAATAAAGTGATGTCACCCTGATTTAGTGGATGATATGGTGTCGAAGCTCTTCAAATGGCCATGCAAGAATTAAGACTACATGGTGTTTTTTGTTTAGTTAACCAATCAATCGATCGATGATTAGGATTTATTTTGATGTTGAAGGTATTTAGTACAGCAATTATTTGATTATAACTTTTCATCCAGCCTTAATTTGGACGTTATCATTTAGAGTTAAAGTGGCTAAATAAAAGAGACCTCCACGAATATTTATGGCATGGCACTTCAATGTTACAGTAGATTCCTGACTAGTCTATTACACCAAACCACCGGTCCTTAAATCCCTTTATCGTTAAGGGAAGATCGCATGAGTTCTCGAGAAAGTGACGGACTAAGATGCAATGACAGTATTATGTTTTCATTTAAGAGTTCTATTTCTTTTTACAAGAGCTGTAAAAAAGAAAATAAAAATTCTACCGGGCCCAAAAATATTATTTCAAAAATAGTACAATAAAAATTATAATAACTAAAATAACAAAATCAATTAGACTAACATAAACTATTTGGATAGAACATTTGGACACTGGCCAGATGTTAAATTAGGCTCTATATATCCTTTAAATTTAAAATTAAAAAACAGATTCAAAAGTACATTAATAATTTCATAGAAAGATTTTTCTATTTTATCTATAGTTTTTTTAATATAAATGATAAGTGACAAAGACGAGCCTCGAAAATACTCTATTAACATTGTTTGTATTTTCTATCCATAAATTATTATTATTATTTATTATTTATGGGCATAACTTAAATTGGAAAACACTCGACGAACTTTTTTTTTATTTTATTTAGAACAACAATGATAGGAAAAATTACAACTGGACGGATCAATACTGGAATTTTAAGCAACCAAAGTAGGCAACAGTTTCCAAACTCTATGAAATCATTGCAGGGGTTATTCACACACAAGCAAAATATATTCCCTACTAATTTTGGTTGTGAATATAACATCAAAACCTTGTAAATATATGGAATATGATCCGAGTATTGTTGGACGTTTGACCTAAAAGACTGTGTAGTCACTCTAGGTTGGCTGATGTGGCTTGATGTTAGGCTGATGGTGTGGATGTTCAATTTGGATCTTTGAATTCATATTTCATAAGATTTTGGTTAGAATTCAAAGATAATGATCAAAGGAAATAATTTCTCCAAATTTCTTTTTTTGTCAAATAGTCCTTTCAAGATCTTATACGTCTTTAAACCATGATAATTTACAATCAATACTAGTTTAATAGATTATTAAGTGACAAGAGTATCTAATTTACTATAATCTGATTACATGAACCTTGATTATAATATAATATTTTTTTCGGTCAACAATGATACCTTATAATCTTCAACTCAGTCCACTCAAATATGACAGTTCATCAGCATATTCCCTGTACAAAGTTAAAACTATTTTAAGATATTTTTCTTCATAACTAAAGAATGTATTAAAGGAGTTGGTTAGCAGCTGTGAACATTTCTTCATAACCAAGGAATACATTAAAGGAGTTTGGTTAGCAACTGTAAACACTTAATTTCGAAATTTCCTATGCATTAAGGGTTGTTTCATGCACTAGTATTTATGTTGGTGTTTAGGGCTTAGGAAAGACTTTAGAAACTGATGATAATTTGATAGAAGCTCTCTTGGAGTGCTCCCATAAACTCTGTATCTCTTGGATGCGTCCTTGAGTAGTGAGTCTTTTGCTTTCAGTTGTGTATTCTTATTTATTATCATCAGGGTGGTGATATTTCTATATCCCTTTTGATTTTAAATTTGGTGATAAGTTATTTTTTTCGTTTTTACTAAAGTTGCTTCATGAGTTCGCTCATTTTTCTGTTTGAAAAACTCATTCCAGCAAATATGATTATACCGTTAGTTTTCTTTCGAAATCTATTCTACACCCCCCATTCTACATCACACCGGTATCGTTGAGATGATCTCTTTGGGTTGCATAAAAGGCATCTTCGTTGTTCCAAGATGATTTAGGTCCCATGTTAACAATGGTTCCATGAACTCTTTTGTAAATTTCATTTTCTTCACATGTGAAGAGATAAAAAATTATTAAACAATGATGATCTTGATTAAAAGAAAATGAACTTTGATTCTATCATTGAATCAATTTAGTATTCTATCTTCTAATCAATGACTGGAAATCAAAATCTAATGCCTTCTTTGTCTCATTGGCTACTTTTGATGATGAAGCTCTATTTTTCGTTGTTAGTATAGTGTCTACAACCCATATTAAACAGAAACATCGATGTGTGAGATAAAAATTAAAATATCACTAAGAATTAGTCTTATATTTCTTAAAGAATATATTAAAGTTAATCAACTTATAGTTTAATATTGTACTGGACATAATATACAACCAAAAATTCGTCTCATATTTCTAAATATTAAAAAATACTGAACATAATGAAAGGCTAATGAATTATGATAACATGTAGAGGTAAATAAATGGATAGTCTCTGAAAGAACCTGCAACTAATGATGCACATAAGTGCGTAACGACGGACTTTGAATCTCAAAAGAATAAAAAGATAGACAAAACATTATTGACATGTGAAATGAATATTAAAATGATGCATAATTAGTCTCAAAATTTTCAGCACTAAACAGACTCAGATCATGTACATTGGCGTTGACAAATAATTAATTTTTTATATTGGTATAATGTCCAACACCACATATAGTAATAGTTGGACTCAAACTTGGATACATTTAATTTTTTTGATAACCTCCTACAAGGAGATCTCATTCAATATTGTCTATCGGATCCATCCTGATTCTTATCTTCCTTACATTGCTTGGACAAGGAGATCTCATTCAATACTGTCTATCGTATCCATCCTAATTCTTATCTTCCTTACATTGCTTGGATTGCTGACTCTGTTTGTGGAAGTTGTGTAAGCAGTATTAGTGTCTTCGTTTCTAGCTGCATAGTTTGATATGAACAGAAAGTGCATGCAAGATGTGTTCGAGAAAAAGGTTTCTTCTGCTTTATTCTTCAAGTATATTATAAATAACTTCTCTTTCAATAATTTCTACATATAACTTTTTTTTAACAAAAGAGAAAAATTAAATTATTATTTTAAGATTCTACAGAATGACCTTCTAAGGTCATTTTACTATTAAACAATAATTCATTCCTTGTTTTCCATAAAAATTCTATTGGCAATGGCTAATAATAGGAGTAGGTCAGTTTGTGCAAAAAGATAATATTGAGTTGTGGTCAACAGGTCTAGACATTTAAAGAAAAATGAACATTGAATGAAAAGATGCTGGATGGATTCTTGTTCTTAGTGACAAAGAGGGTGAGTAACAAGTATGACTATGTGGAAAGTTTTTGGTGAAGTAGTTTCCAATAAAATATTTGTATACATGAGAAAATAGGTAGCCTTCAAAGGCAATGCTAGTCGTGCCTACTTTGATTAGGATGAGGTGAATCATATTGCTTAAGCAAATAGTAAGCATTCTTATTTATAGCCTTACCCGAAATTTTACTCTACCAAACCCACACATCATTCACAAGGCAAATGACCGATTTATATAGAAGCAATGGATTGGACCGCAATAATCCAATAGCAATTGTGTCGATCGGATGAAATAACATCATCTGTGTCGAGAGATAGATTAGTAACATCAACATAAGTAGGTTTTAAACAAAGAGATACATCAAATAATCAAGGATCGTTGAGACATATCAAATAAACGAGGATCATTCAAGAAATTTATATTAGTGTCATCTCCAATTTGTTTGAAGAAACTATGTTGCAACTCACTCATAGCTATATTAAATAGTTTGCAACCCCCCAGCTAGCTTTATTTAAAGTTGATGTTATTTAAGGATAGATAGGATTATATTTGGCATGCATAATTTTGGATCAAAGGCTCTGATCATTGTTTAAATAACAAAGGACTCTATAGGTTCTTGAAGAGAAAATTTAAATAAATTTAACTATTGAATTCTAAGGCCCTCTAAGTCTTTATTATTAGTAACAATGCCTCGATTAATATAGTGCAACCCTTTTTTTTTAATATTATTATGTTGTATAAAGTTTTTAATTAAAATCTTAATTTTATATAGAATTTAAACCGACATCCATGTCACATTAAGTATATGTAAGGGTATGGAGTTGAAAATTGATTTAATTAAGACTATCCAACTAGCTTGAGAAAGATAATTTTGTTGCCAATGTGCCAATTTAGATCAAATTTTATTAAGGATAACATCAGGGTAAAAAGAAGGTAATATTCTCGAAGAAATTATGGCTCTAAAGTTTTTAAATGAGAAATCCTCTTCTATAAGGGAGTAGATATTATTTTTAATATGCATGCCTAAGAGTTGATTTATGAAAAATAAATTTTAAAAAAAATTATTTTTTTTATTTGTTAAGATCTCATAGGTGGAGAAGATGGAGTTGATAGTTTGAATAGATGTTTTTTTAGCTTGACAGCATAGTTAGATACCATTAATAAATATTATATTACAAAGATGACAATTAGGACCAAAGTGAAAAGGTATTAGTTTTGTTTGAGGTGTTGCTTGATTTCAAACATAAGGGTTTGAGCTACTAGGATAAATAGATAGAGGGATAATGTGTCTTCCTATCTTAAAATTTGACCATTAATAAGGCATTAAAAGAAAGAAGAGGAAATAGATGAGTTTTTAACTTTAGTTATAAAAGTTAGGAAAGTCTAGTTTAGCTAAAAGGAATATAATTGTGATCAAGATACCAATTGAAAGCATCATGGAGGGGCAATAATGTTCAATAATACCTATTGAATTTCCTGATAAACCCATTAGACCCTAGGCTTTTACCAAGCTCCATGGACATAATTGTCAGATGTATTTCAATAAGGGTCAAAGGTGGAATCATATTAGAATGTGTATTTAGTTTTTGAAAAGATAGCTAGTGGGTGATTAATAGCTCCAAAGATTAATATAATGATTGCTAAAGGATAATGATATATCATTTTTATCCACAATTACATAGAGGTTATTGTCATTAATGCTCATAATAAAATTGCACCTTATATGGTAAGTCAATAGATTATAGAAGTATTTTACATTTATATACCCCTCATTAGTCTATTCATATTTAACTTTAACCCATCATTTGAGATTTATTTACTTTTAAAAAATAAAATAAAGATTATAAAGATATTTAAGTTGAAGAGGTCCTGGTCAGTAGGATTAGAAATATCTAGAAAGGCTTCTAAAGTGGTTATGAATTCATTAATAGATTTCAATCTATATTCCAACACTCATAATGTTTATTTCAATTGGATAAAACATATCTAGTTTTACATAATTATGATAAAAATTATTAAGTGAATTCTATTAGAATCGAGTCGATACTAAAAGGGGGGGGGTGAATTAGTGCGTACGTAAAATTACGTCGAGTCGAAAATCTTCGTATGATAAAATCGTATCAAAAAGTATTTAACTTTAAAAACGTTCCTAAAAGTATGCAACTAAAGTAACGAGGAAGTAAAGCAGCTACAAAGTAAGTAAATGATAGTGAAGAAAGAAAACACACTAATTTATAATAGTTTGATCGTCGTGACCTACATCCACTTCTGATTCTTCTTCCGTCGAAACTATCATCCACTAACAGTCGTTCTTCAATGGGTGAAGACTAACTATCCTTACAACTCTATTCTCCTTCTGACAAGCTCGGGAGAGAATCTTTACACCCCCACTCTCTCCTCTCTTAAATAGAAATTAATACTTAGACTAAAGGAGGAAAATTCTCACAAGATTACAATAGTTTTTCCTTATTTTTATTCTCAGTTCTTATGTTGTCTAAGCAGGGATGAGAGGATATTTATAGGCCCCAAATGGATTAAACTTGGAGTCAAAAAGTGTCTTATCCTCAATTTCTGGGTACTGGTGGTTCCACCGCCTGTGCTAGGTGGTACTACTACCTACAATATTGACATTGGGTGGTATCACCGCCCAGATTGATGGTATCACCACTTGACATAGTTTGAAAGATTGTATTTAGGCAGTTCCATCGCCCAAACTAGCGATACCACCACCTGACATTGGGTGGTACCACTGCTTAGTTTGACGGTACTATCGCTTGACATAGTCTCGAAGACTATGTCTTAGAGACTGAGCCTCTAGCGGTGCTACCACCTGGACCGATGGTGCCATCGCCTAACCCAACTTTTGGGTCATTGAATGAGCATTTCTCTTTACCCAAAACATCCCTAATTCAGGCTCAGTTAGTCTTAATTGAGTTGTTATAATTATATTATAAATCAATCCAATTAAAACTAAAATTGTTTCGATATAGATAATTATTACAAAGCATTAATCACATGTTGTTCGACATGTCATTAGTTTATTCGACGTTTCGTTCAACCCTTCGGCGCATCATCCTTTCCTTCGGCGTATTGCCCCATCGGCATATTGCCTTCTTGCAACATCCGATCTCCTTGATGCAATATATGATCTTCTTGGCCCGATGCTCGAACTCATGGTGTGAAGCCTTTTACCGATACGTCGACTGATCCTTCGACTCGACGTCCAATCTTCTGACATGTTTCACTTCGGCTCAATATTGATTCTTCCTGCATCACTCAAAACACATATTAGATCACAAACTCATCAATCAATCCATTTCATCGTCAAAATTCGAGATTCAATAAATTCCTATTTTGATTAAAGGAAGAGGCCTAAACAATGTTAACTAAGTTATTTATTTTAGGATAATTAGTCCATAAGTTTTGAAATTTTAAAAACTTGGCCAAAGTAAAATTAGACACAACCAAATTAATTTTTAAAGGAGCATGATTTGAAAATTATATACGTCAATGATAAATAGAAGAATTTTAAAAAGACTACATCCAAATAGTATTATAAAAAATTCAATCAAAAATGTGTATTTAGAACCAAAAAAACCACTAATTAATTAAATTATAATATTTAATAATATCTCAAAAATAACGAATAGAGATATTAGCATTAAAAGGATAACCCATAATATAATTAAAATCACCCAGAACACACCAAGGTAAATCTAAAAAAATTAACTCAAAGTCTAGACCATAAATGATTCCACAATGAAGTGAATTACTAACATAAATATCAATTACCAACCATGGCTTAGAAGAAAATTTTATAACTAGCTGAATAAACTGAGTTTGAGTAGATATCACCTAGACTTGAAATTTTGGGTAAAACCATGCTCATAAGATACCTCCTGAAGCTCCAATTGCTGGCTGCAAGGCATTGCGCCAATTGATACCGAAGGTTTTAATAAATTTATATGATTGATCAACAGTGACAAGATTAGTGTCAGACAATAGATTCTATGGACATAAGTGAGGAAATCATGAATCAACTTCCTCCTTCTAATTCTACAGTTCTAGCTAAACAATATCATTAACAGAATACAAAGAAAATAGAAGAAGGATTCCAAAAAGGGCATAAAATCAAGTTTAAAATGCTAGATTCAAAACCAAATAGGTTTTTTTTGAGTTTTTTCTTTCCTTTAATGGCCTCATTTATTACTTTCAAGTTTACATGGATGTTATTTCTTATGGAACCATGCTTTGGATAGTTAAATCTTTATCTTTCTATATCAAGTAGTCTCCGAGAAGGTCACTATCTTCCAAAGAATTGAGTAGAGGTGGGGGATGGATAAATTATGAGATTTAAGGTTAGAAAGAACATTTTTAGCTTTTGTCAGAAAGAATAAAACTGTGGAAAGGGGAACGAGGGATGGCAAGTATAGCTAAAGAAGGGATACGAGGTAAAGCATCTATCACAAGTGCTTTGTGGGAGAAAGATTTGATGTGTTCAAATATTGATTTGCGTAGAAGATTACCAAAATTTATTATGGTGATAGGTGGCTCATACTACTGTTATAATTATATTTTTGACAATTTCAAACAAAAAATCGCCTTGAGCTTCAAAAAATATGTTTAATCTGTTCACATTTAAACATAGCAAAAGGACATATTTTTGGGTCATCTCAGCCATCATCAGTCCAATCAATCTACATCACAGAACAAGCATTTGGATCCTCATCGGAAAACCACTGAGGTGCATGTGTACAGTGGATGAAGTAGGGAACAACTACATCTTTCGTCTTCAGCTCCTCTTTCTTTTCGACTGTCAACTCTTCTTTGCCATCTTTCACTTCAAGCTTAATCTTCTTCTCCTCCACCTTTTTCTCGACTTTTTGCGGTACAATCTCCGCGTGTTTGCGTGCTTTCTTGCGAATGTGTTTGATCAGTTCTTCTTCCTTTATCGTGCCGACAATGGTGCAAGTCTGCGCTGCTCGGTTGGTTTCAACCTTGTGAATCTCTGTGTTATCAACGAACAAACCGATCAAAATGCAATTCTTATGGTGAGTTACTAAACAAGGGTTTGTATACCTTTGTGTTTAAGCAACATCAACTTCAGGTCATTTTCACAATTCGCGCAGTGCAGGTGAACTTTGATGACTGTTGTCTTTATAACCTGATGAAGCATTAGAAGATTAACTGTTAGTGTGCACACATCAACGTCTTAAAAGGCTTCATCTCTACAGAGAGCTTACTTCTTTCTTCTCTTCCTTCTTTTCTGGTGGCTTTACTTCTTTCGGCTTGGGCTTGGGGGATATCAACTCAACCTTCTTTCTGGTCTTCCTCTCAACTCGTTCTTGAACCTGTTTTACGTCGAAGTTGCTGCCTTTTACAATGACTTTTCCACTGGACACATTTATATCCACCTTTTGTACTCCTTTTCCACCAATAAAACCAATTAATTCTACTTGATGATAATTGATATCGTTTATGATCACACACATAGAAGTGCAAGCTAAACCACCACCAAGCAATCCAAACAAAAGAAGATAGAGAAGCTAACCTGCGTTCCGAATGATGTGCTTCTCGACGGCACGCGCGCATTCTCCGCAATGGATATGGACTTTGTATTCTGCAACAATCACTTCTTCGGTTTTCTTCTCAACCATGTTAACCGGAACAAAGAAGGAAGACAATGCAAGAAATTGAAAGCATGCCAAATAGTAGAAGATCGCTGTAGCTTTTACATGAATCCTGTATGTGGAAAGTGGGGCAAAGATCCAAAAACCTTCTTTGTTGGGTTGAGGTTGGTGGGATTTGTTGAGGGTGGTTCACTTGCAGTGGATAAGTTGCAGGATGGCATTGGGATTCTCTGCGGAAGAGCACCTAATTTAGACTATGTATCCTGTAACTTGAACAGACTCCCACCTAACTTGGAACTATGAGCCGTACTGTACGTTTTATATCTAAGTCTCATTCATAGTATATCTGCAGGTCACCCAAGAAAACCACAATATTAGCAGACGAGAATACATTCATGGCAGCGATTTATATGATTCAATCAACTAAAAGAAAAAAAAAAGAGTAAATATCTAAATTCTGAAACTAGCTAGAATAAAGAACATAATTGTTGTCTAACCTAGTTCTTATAAACGAGGTCGATTACAAAACATCATGTGTCAATTTCAATACAACGCATTCAATATCATCCAAGAAAATACAATATTGGTGGATTTATTGCGTATGTTTGGAAATCAATTGTAAACATCTAGGATTGATCCGACTCATCCCACATTGGGCAATTTGCACATGCCCAAAATTAGACGAGGTTAGAAGCAAAGAGTTCATATAGATGAAAGATGAGAAATCATCTGAATATATATTAAAGAAGAAGGCATGTCTATTATTTTAATTTTTTTCAACCATTGAATTTATCATTTACCATTTTTTTTACAATGTTTGTCAAGATCTCTAATGCCAAAATCAAATAATAATATATCTAAATTTACGATACATGTCTTTTGAATAATGCTCGAAAAATCTTTTCTTTGATCTACAAGCATTCTGTAATCAGATCTGAAAACTAAGGTGACTACAAGAAGAACTAAACTTACTTTCTCATCTCTTTCTATCCTTCATAAGATCACTATGAGCGATGAATTTGTAATCTCTCAATCATCATGTATACATACCTTCGGCATCCATATATTCAATTATTTTATTTTATGTTTATAGTCCTTAGGAGGTTCTATCTATTTATAGGTAAGAGCAAAGAGTTTAGAATAAATAATTAGGAGAGTCCCACCAATTAAAATTTTCTCCTAAGGAATTCTATCATAATTTAACTTTATTTCTATTAGCTAATAATCATAATTAGAATCCAATCATATCCATACTGTATCTTACCTAATTAGATAGGACCAAATAATCAAATATTTTTGTAATTGGCTCATTAATTGATAATATACATAATTATTTAAAATAAAAAATAAATAAAATAAATTTATTTGAAAATAATTTTACTTAACTAGATTCTAATTTTTTTGAAAATCATTTATACACGCATGAATTTTTAAAAAATAGCCTAATAAATCTAATAAATATAATAATGCTATATTAAGTTTGACTAGTAATGTGAGTCATAGATGTTATGTGTCATCAATATCATACTTCTTTTTATGTATCATAATATTGTTAGTTTCTCCTAAAATAATATAAAATGACTCCTATAATTTATCTTGTTAAGACAATCATATCATCACCTATAATATGTATATATATAAATATGAATAGGATAGTAAAAATAAATAATTTTAAGTATATAAGCAAGAATGTCAATTATTATGTCTACCCAAATATGCATCACTATATTTTTTATAGGTTGCTCATAAATCTAATCATAAAAGTATATTCTTTTAGACACTTTAGACTATAAATCCAAGTGAATGGATATGTAATCAATATAATAAAATTTAAGTTATTAGTTGACATTAATTATTTCTAAATATTTTTCTCTAACCATCAAGTACTTTATAGTATGATGTATACGGTTACAATAGTGCTTGTCATTCTTAGATAAGAAAATTAATACAATATGATATAAAGTATATTTAGTGATTTGACAATTGAGTTTGACCATGCCAAGTCCTAAGATAAAAATTTTTCAATCATAAAGCTTGATTATTGGTCTCAAAACATACCACAAAATCAACTCCTACTATTAATAATATAATAAGATATTACTTTATTTTTTTTCCTATATATTATTCCTCTGATTGATATGTTGTTAAGAGTTTAAAGTCATCATCACTTGAGCTTTTGCTCGAGTATTCTTCTTGAGTTCTAAATGTCAAATCCTTCATGTTCTTTGGAAGGTTATTCTCAAGTTGGCCATGTTCATCATGCGCCTTGCATGCCATTTTATATGTCATCAATGAACCAATAAGTTCTTCCAGAGGAAAATTATTTAAGTTCTTTGTCTCTTGTATTGTAGTTACCTTCAGATCCCAACTCTTTAGAAAGGATATTAAAATCTTGTTAATAAGTTCAAAATTAAAAAAACTTTTACCAAGTGCTTTTAAACTATTGATGACATCCGTAAAATAGGTGTATATGTCAACAATAGTTTCGCTTGGTTTCATATGAAACAACTCGAAATCATGCATCGAAAGATTAATTTTAGAGTCTTTAACTCTACTAGTGTCTTCGTGTGTTATTTCAAGTGTGTGACAAATATCATAAGCCATTTCGCAAATAGAAACTCAATTGAATTCATTTTTATCTAAGACACAAAGCTCTAGCATTTAAAGAAAACATTTTCTTCTCTAGATCAATCCATTCATTCATTGGTCTAGAGGGTTTTCGAAAGCTATTTTTAATAATACTCCACAAACTTAAATCAAAAGAAAGCAAGAAAACTCTCATTCGAGTTTTCCAATATGTATAGTCCATCTCATTGAACATAAGAGGATGAATGATAGATTGACCCTCTTGAAAGTCAAAAAGAGTTATTTCTCTTAGGTGTTAAACTAAATGAGAAAAACGTAGCTCTAATACCAACTGTTATGATCAAGAATGACACTAAGAGTGGGGGGTGAATTAGTGCAGTAGATAAAAATAATAAATTTAATCGAATTTCAAAAAACTTCATGCAATGAAACTCTTAGTTCGACATAAACCGTTTTGAAAAGACGTTTGATTCGAATAAGTTTATGAGTGAGTAGAGAGGAGAGGATTGGATAGTTTGCAATGAAGTAAAGTAGAATCCATATATTAAGATAAGTGATGCAGGACTAACTATGATTATAAGAAAGGCAAAATGATTGAGGAAGAATCGAATTTGGGCCGGAGTCAATGGTTGAGCATTAGGCCAGATGAATCGGGGGATACACCGAAGGATCAGACGATGCAATGAAAGCTTGTTGGAAGTTCACCAAAAGCTCACCGGAAGTTCGCTAGGAGTTCGTTGAAAGCTCGCCGGAAGATCGTTGGGGGTTCGTCGGAAGTTCACTGAGAGTTTGGTTGAACGATTTACATGTCGACAACTTAGATTTCTTGTATTGCAATTATTTTAGCCTTAACTATCATAGTTAGGACTTTAATTTAAGTTAGTTTTGGGAGAAATCTTACTAACTCAATTAGGGGCCAACTAGGCCTTTAATGGGGCTAAATTGTTGGTAAATCTAGGGGTGACATCATATGCGTAACAGAAGAATATTAAAAATAAAATCTTCAATTTCCCAAAGATGTATTGGTTATCATGCGAAGATTGGTGTACAAAAAAATCACGAAACTTAAAACTACGTATATTAAATATTGTGTTATATAGGGAGATCGTATATCTCTAAATCCTTGTAGATCTCTAGAAGAGGGTGAAGGAGGTCAAGTTTTATCCTCTTTAGCGGTGATCCATATAGTAGGGCTGCGATGATACTTCTTATAACTCTAAGCCTACTATCTGAGGAGGAGAAGGGGAGGAGAATAGGAGAGGAAACCCAAAAAGACTCTAGCCTAGAAACTATTGATTCTCTTATATTTATAGAGGTCCCCTATTAACTTAACCCTAATGGATCCTACCATATTGGGTATTGGATGTCCATCTAAATACCCAAGCTTATTAGATTAGTGGATCTCTATTCAATAATCTCTCATTAGTTTTTATTGGATCTCATCCACAGGATCCAATAATTCAAGAGCTTATTAGATATCCAATAAGATAAGGGCTCCAACGGATATCTCATATCTGAATCTCTACACATCGTAACGCCTACCATATGTGTATGATCCTCTAAACCCAATATCGAGCTGGCCATGAGTCATACCTATTACAACTCCTTCTAGCTCAGTAAATTATTATTTCTATAATAATTCACTTGACTCATCGACTATGGATGTACTAGGCCACTATGCCGTAATCCCCAGACGATACAGGAGAATTCAATCCATTGGACATGTCTGTCCTTAATTACTATGTACCTATAGTCCATCATCTATCTAATATCTCAGAGATCGTATGCTAGGCATAGTGCTGTCAGACCCATATGGTTTCTACTCGAGTCTCGCTCTAATAAGATTCTTCCGGAAAACTCTTTTTCTCCCAATCCGAATAACCCTTGCTAGGGATTTGTTTGAGTAAGAACACATGAGATATTCTTTTCATGACACCGAGAGTGAATGATCCTCTATTGATACTCAATAGCCCTCGTAAAATTGGCTACCACTCCCGATGACTAGTTGTGCTAGATTTGGAATCTCTAGACTTATAAGTCTGATATCAAAAAATGAAGTACTCATATAGGACATCCTTGGTATCTCAAGTCTAAGGACCATATACACCATTGGGACTACAGAATCACTATCTGACAATAAATCATCATCAACCATCCAACATTTCGTAAGCAAATCAATAAGTGAACTCATTTCCTAATGAGCACCTATACTATATCCCTAGTATCCCCGCATGAGCAGCTATGTGACCAACTGCATCCATTATATGAATGGGTATACAACACACTAGTTTGTCCAGTTTTCTTGATGTCCCTCTCAAGTAACCTATAATCGGGATTATTTAGGATCTGTGTTTAAAGACGAATCGGTCTCATTATCGTGATCTCATCATGATTCGATTCTCATTGCACAGATCCATGAACATTACAATATATTCAAGCAACATGCAATATAAAGTGATAAAATGTCAAATAATAATAACAAGCAAAAAGACTACGTGTCAAGTCAC